CTGTACAGTATTTAAGTACAGTTTTGAGGTATTTGTATTTCCATTTTATAATACTTTAAAGTTATACTTCAGTCCATGTCAGAGGGAAATATTGCTACAATTATCTGACAGCTTTAGCTACTTTGCAGATTTAGATACAAAAGTCACCTGATAAATGTTGATATATTACTGCAGTATATAAAGTAATTAAACGGATTAAAGTGATGAACACATTAATATAATCAAATCATTTTATATTAAATAATTCTGAAATGAGTTATTCTGCATGTTTAGTACTTTTACTTTTGGTATGTGTGTTGTGTGTCTTAAGCTGTGTAATTACTGCTGTTGCTTCTTCACCTGGTGCACCTGAAGCCACAGGTAGGTAATCCCACACAGGTGAACGGCTGGAGGAAAGTAGGAACCGTACGTGTGCGTCTGTGCAGGTTTTGTCCTGCCGTATGGTGTTTTTATTTTTTGCTTTGCATTCAGAGCACCTGCCGTTTGTAGGTGTTTTCTAACCTCCTCTTTTGTACGAGCACGCGACGGAAATGTTTTCAAATTCAAAATTTTGGTTGTTCAATTGCCACCACAGTACTTTAAGAATATGATGCCAATTCTTTTGTACTTTGAGAAAATAGTTTGAATGCAGGACTTGATTTACACTGTATACACCAATCGGCCATAACATTATGACCACCGACCGGTGAGGTGAAGAACACCGATTACCAGCGTGTGGATCCATCAGGCAGCAGGTGAACAGGTGTCCTCATAGTGGACGCGTTAGAAGCAGGAAAAATGGGCTTGTGTAACGATCTGAGCGACTTTGACATGTGCGAAATTGTGATGGCTGGACGACTGGGTCAGAAAATCTCCAAAATAGTCTGCAGGGGCCGAAAACTGGACAAAACTGGACATTATTTGGAGAAAAGAAAGCGAGGAGGTTGAACTACCCGGTGAGATCAGAAACTTCCTCCTCCATCCGTGGTTGCAAGTAGTTCTACCGAACTTTACTGGATGTAAAAATGTCAACACAGAGCAGAGTCCTCGCTCTGCATGAAGAGGAGGCTGAAGCAGGTACAGAGGGAGGACGGACTCGCCATTTGTGGGTTTATGATTTTGTGGGCGAGGAAACATCTTGGCGAGTACCACCGTTTGGTCCAAGAGGACGAAGCCCGGTTCCGAGATAGTAACCGTTGCTACGGTGTGGTATTTGTCCCGCCCCTCCTGCACAGTGATTGGACGGCTGGGTAAAAAGTGACATTGACGAGCGCAGCGTTTTTCCCAAAGTTGAACATTTTTCAACTCTCGGCGACCGGAAAAAAAAAAAACGCTCAGCGCCTCGTCACGCTGCTAGTGTTTTTTACCAGCTTTTAAAAACGCGGCGCTCCTAGTGGAAGGAATTGACAAAAAAAGACACTGGCGTCAGAAAAAAAGGACGCATTGGTGGACCCGGGTTACATAAAGAGTTACATACATGTGCACATTAGACTGCATGCGTCTGTCCTACTTTGTTTTAACGGATTGTTTCAGATACAAACAGGTCAGAGTTTGGCAGCTCAGTTTGTATATTTATTCTCCCTCCTCAGGGAATCGATGAGCTTTAAGTTTTTAATCAGTGTGTGTGTGTGTCTATAAACGGCGCTGGCCGTTCTGTGAAAGTGAAAGCTGATATTCCGCTGGCTCACAGTTTCAGCCTGAGTACTGGGTGAACCTCTGTAATCCCGTTAATGCTGCCCGAGGGAGAACGTGTGCGTGGAGGGATTGGCCTATAATATAAAGCGGCTTAGAGGCCTGGATCTACATAAACAGCGCAGGCATTAAGGTTATGGAGCCAGGTGGAGGATTTCAGGTGATCAGCACGCGAGAATCACCTGAAGTGACTCAACAACAACAACACTCTGTACACAAAGCTAGCTGGTTAGCAAGGTGCTAGTGCAGAGTGGGTCAGTGTAAACAAACCGATGTTAGGAGAAGAAAACAGTTCATTAAACTGATTATTGATGGGAAGACATCTAATTAGAAAGGAAATACCTCCAAGCCAGACTTTATCTAGCGGTTTGCTAACTTTATTAAGGTTTGGGGAAGGTGTCGGGTGTTTCAGTACACACAATAGTCCTTTAGGACACTTACACAAATTCCCACAGTTTTTTCTCCGTTAAACCAGAGCAGATTTTGGCGAGAAGTCCTGGGAAATGCCCAAATCTGTTCTAACTACAGTGAGGCAAGGATTCATCACGCCTGCTGTGGGAAGAAGAAATGAACGTCAGCTGTTCTTTTTCTCTGACTTGGCTGTGAAAAAAGGTCTATTGGAAACACGGCTGTCACTTTATGTTGACCGACATTAGGGCCCAGACTCGGGGTGTGATGATACATTTGGATCACGAGAACATGATGAGAAGATTTTTAACACTATTTAAAAAAAATATGAAATGCTAAAATATTGGAGAACATTGGAGAGTTTAACACTTAATTTCCAGGAGACATTTTCTGCTCCTGCTTTATGGTGGAAATGTCTGTATTTATTTAAAGGGAAACAGACAATTCAGCTGGCAGGTGGCAATTCATAAATATAGAAATATGTAACCAGCTGCTTGTTTTTCTTAACTTACGTTGCTTTTTTGGACAATGCACATTTGTTTCTTCTATATTTAAATTACGTTGCATTTTTTATTTTATTGTGCAAATAAACCTTTTTTAAAGTATTAAAATCTCTTGGTGCAAGCTATTTTTCAGAACATTTTTAACAAATGCTTTCAATTCAAGTGATGGGGACATGTCCCCAGCTTCCCCAGAGTAAATGACACCTATGATTGGAAACATATTTTATCAAACGCAAACATTAAAAGTTCTCTGAAGCCACAACGTCGACAGAAGTCTTCTCTAATTAAACCATCAGCTGATCTCACGTAAAGTTTCTGGAGTCACCCCGTTAAACGTTTATTCACTTCAGATCAGTAATCAGAACCAGGAGCTTCAGAAGGTGTGTCAGATACACATTCAGACATGTTTTATCGAAATTAACAATTTTTTTGTGGCAGATGTATCATGTCCAGATGTACGAAAAAGTAAATTTAGTAAATTATCAATTTTAACTACTATTTTCTAATGTATTACTGTCAACTGTATGTTTATGTCTATAACGGTCGCTGTCCAAGGCTGCTTGCAGCTTCAATATGTTTTATATATATATATGTTGTGATTGTTTAATTTGTGCCAGTAAAGATCTTAATGGGAAGAAAAAGACTCATCAGCAGATGTTCAATATTACAGGACTCTTGATCCAGTAATCTTGATCCCTAGTTGTTTTAAAAAGGAGTCAACTAGTTTACAATCTATACCTTTGCTCCCTGCAGACCGACAGTAACCACTTCTTCCATGACTAGACTTTAGCAGCTGGAGTTAGGTTTTGAACCAGCAACCGTCCTGCAGACACGACGACAACAACAGATAAACAACAGCCAAGGTGTGTGCAAATATATTTTCATTTCTTGTCATACAAACAATAAAAAACGTGAACCATTAACCATAAAAATGAACAATTTAAAAATACCAGAGACCGCAACTTACAAAATATGCTGTGTGAACACAAAAGGCTGGTCTGCGGCAGATACAGTGCATGTTATACATCTAACTTTAGCTGCTGAGGAGCAAAGTCCAGCATGTTAACTACATCAGAAAGTTAATAAAAAACACAATAAACATCTCTCTTACAGGCCGTGACAGCTTCATTCATTTGGTAGCAAGAAGGATTATTGTGGAAGAATGAATTGTTATATACACACACACACACACACACACACACACACAATATGAATACTGAATGCAGCTTCGGTAGCGGAAGCTGCATTGAAGTTTGAGTTTATGTTCTGAAAAAGAAGCTTGAGTGTGCCAACAAATATTTTAAAAAAGTACAGACATGTCAAAAATTCATCAACACATTTCATATTTAAAAGTCATCAGAAGGTAATAAACCAAATGTAATAATCAAAAGTCGACTAATTCAACAAATCCCATGTTCAGATCCAGACCAGCTACGCGTGTACGGTTCTCCTGTGGGTCTCGGCTTCGAGCTCATTGGTTCCTCCTGAAGACATAAAGCTTTAAAAACACCTCACAGATAAATAATTTCATGTCTAAACCAGATGCTCACTGTAGTTTTTAAACAAACTAGTGTCTTTGTTGGGGACTATTTTCAGCGGCGGATGAATCCACATGTGGCGCTCTAGTGAGTATTTGGGGCAGCGGGACGGTGTGTGTGTTCATGGAGATGAAGGAACATGTGGAGTGCAACGGCGAGGCTCACTGATGAGTTTAATGGTTTCTGGACAACAATGGAGCTCTAAGGCTCAGAGGAAGAAGAGACATCAGACTGCTTGTTAGTCAACCCGTACTCATCCCAGGTCGCCACAAATGGACGCTCTGCCGAGACCCCTTAGCGTCACTTTTTAACGCCCTAAGGACCCCTTTAGCTTCGTTTTTGTCTCCGTGGTCGAGTTAACAATAATAAATATGCAACGTCCGGTTTAAACTTTCAAAATAAAACTTTGATTTTGTTAGGTGCATCTGTAATTCACGTTAACTGTCATCTTAACAGGCTGATAAGTTTGTCCAGCGAACAACAGTCTTAAAACTAAATGTTCTCACCAGAGAAAGTGAACAGCCGACTCCTGATAAGCTTTTTCAACAGCGCTGGTTAAATTTACACAGTGCCGAGGATACGAGTCGGCTCTAGCTTGATTGACAGGTCGCCATGGTAGCGACTTGTCAGTCAGCTTGTAGCCCCGCCCTAAAGCCTCCCCTGCTTCCTGGTCTCTGTTCCTCTAAATGGGACCATAATTTACTAAATGAACATCATGCTGTGTTGAAGAAGACTTGAAACTAGTGACTGAGACCATAAACTCATCAGGAAAGTGTTTACTGAGGGAATAAATCAGCTGACAAGTAGAAACATTTTATTTCATTGTAGCCGGACTTCTTTTTGAGACCAGAAGAGTCGCCCCCTGCTGGCCGTTAGATAGAATGCAGGTTTAAGGGACTTCCGCGTTTGCATCAGATCGCTGACTGGAAGCTTCCGCTTGGTCTGTATGTGACCACTTCATGGTTTTGGGTTACAATAACTACATTACTTACGTGACTTAACAATCAATGTTGACTTTTTGTTTTACACGGGAAACGAACACCGGCTCCTCGGTGAAAGTCCGGTTTCGGCGCCGCCCGTCCGCCCCAACCTCCTCCTTACTCAGACATACGTGTTATTTATACTAGGCTTTCTTTTAGTGTTGAACTATGAGGCTAAACGCTGCCATGTGCGTCGGTACCAGATGCTGAAGGACGTGAACCTGGTAATGAGAACGGGCTTTCTTAGTATACTTTCACTGCTGGTCTGAGTCTGAACACGGGATTTGAATATCGCCAGAATGATCTCGCACATTCATTGTTTTTGGTATAGTGAAAATCAATCAAAGTGTTTTTAATTAATCGTTCACACAGGCAGTGTTGATTTTAAAACTTTTATGGTATCTGTAAGTCCGTCACAGTGCATACATAACAACCTGCAGTGTAAATAAAAAAAATTATTTATTTTTGAATTTTGGAATCACCTTTTGTTCACAAATTTCAGGATAAAGCGTTCTGACTTCACTAACGTCACATCTCTGATTCACACCTCTGGCAATGGCTGCAGAGGATCATGGGTATAGTAGTATTTAGAGCCAGCCTGCCAGACTGAGCAGATTGTTTAAAGAAAAGATTAAAATGGGAAAACAGAACAGGGCAACCGGTGGCTCCATTAGATATGATTTTCTTACCTATGATTGGGTTTCTAATATTTTCCATATTAATTATCTTTAAATTTGACTCTTGTAATATTAAATTAATTTAAAATTTAATCAAGATCATTTTTATTTTATCCAACAGAATTACATCTGGGCAGTGTGGAGATTTACACCACCTTCATATGTCAAGTGAAAAACTAAATAGCTGTAACTAAGCAAGACGAAGCTCCTTAAACTCTTTTACTTTCCACGCACAAGCTAACACTTTCCAGCCTGTTTATTAGCCATTGAGCTAACAAGCTAAAAAAAACTAAGCCAGAATATAAAATTGTAACTAAATTGTAATTAAACTTAAATGGATCAACTTGGGATTCATGAGTCATGTCCTTTGTATTTCAATGGCTGCAGCACAAATAATTTTTCAAGTAGAACAATGCTCCTCCAATTAAGCCAGCTATTAGCTAACCCAGCATATTAACAGCAGGTAAGAACACTAACCTTAGCTAGTTCCTAGCTAGGGGATGGATCATTACCAATGCACATGGAGTGTGTTGGAAATTATTTCAACAACATCAGAACAAACTGTAGTTTCTACATGAGCAACACTAGTTACTGCTAGGTTGCTTAAAATAGTAACGTTAGCATAACTTTTCTGTAGCGTGCAATGGGGTCAGATATGTTTGGTAAATTTAGGCTCGAGCTATAAAATGAAGAGTGGGATTGTAATTAAAGCAGCCAACATTACTTTTAATTGTTTTACTTCATGTAATTCATTCATTAACAAAAGTCAGACGACGTTTTCTTCTTTGTTTACGTCTCCAGATGACGCCCTTTAAATCTTTGCTTTATTAAACAGATTGGTGATTTGTGGTGATAGTGAACGTGGTGTTTTATATATATTATGCTGTAGATTATGAATGTAATGCATTCTAAAAATCATACAAATACAGTTTACACACCTGGGCGTCAGTTAGACAAAGATCTACAGTATAAGGTGATGTTAATGTCGTTCCCTCTGTTTTTTAGCAAGTTCAAATGTAAAGTTATTGTTTTTCACCTGATCTGAGCTGAGTGTTTCTCTGCAGGTGTCACCCGGTGAAGTCTGTTTAGTTTCCTAATATAACAAACACACATTACTGTTTCTTCTTCTACTGCACAACTTCACACGTCTCAAAGCACTTTTCTACCACTGAAAATAACCTAGCAGACTTTTCAATACATTAAACGTCCAAACAAGAGTTGTGGTTGATGAACTTTGGCACAGTGAAGGCCGGCCTGGTTTGCACTACGAGGCTAATTAGAGCAAGCCTGGAGGTTAGCCTGGTTTAAACACTGGGCTAAACAGGGTTAGACTGGTTTAGACTGGGCAGAAATCATGTGGATTTTATATTTGTACTGTTTTAACTTACACTGCACATTTTAACATACCTTTGTGTGAGGTTTTAATCCCCACATTGAACGTAAACACTTAACTCCTGATCCTTTCTTTTCTGGAATCTTAAAGCAAAGAATTGCTGAGACAATGAACACAATAAATCGGGACCAAAACCAAGTGAGGTTGTACTTAAGTGGCTGAACAAATAATTTACTAACTTAAAAAAGTCAATTTAGTGTTAACTTACTCAGTTACTTGTTGTAGGAAAGCAGGCAAAGTTTAACTTAACATAAATTAAGTTAAGTTAATATTTTTCAATATTTTTTGTGACAGCGCCTCCTACGTGAGTGTTTTCCAGCTGGTGTGAATTTTATTTTGACGTTGGGATTAGCAACGTTGTAAGCTGTATAGATCACGGTTATAGATCGTCAGCACAACTGGACCCGTTAACGAGGGATGGCTAATGCTATCTTACCCTTTCTGGATGAACACAGCACTGAGTGTGAGACAGGTAAAGGTAACAGTCAGAGCTAACGTAAGCAAGAAGGGCTAACTAGCTATCTAGCCTAGCCTGCTAGCTTCTACTTTCCAAGCAAAATACAAACTTATCAGCACAATGGGTCCTCCCAAACGATGACTGATAAATCACTAAAGGTACATTTAACATTATGTGTAATAAAAATACGATCAAAAACTGTTTAATCCTCTTGAGTAATAGAGAACTATTCACACTTAGTCCTCACACAAAAAAATAGGAAAATTCATATTTAATTTTTGAGCTAGTAAATTATGTTTACCGTCACTTTATTATACTATCCGTTAATCCTGTTCCCATTCTGTAGTTATTTTTCTTCTCCAGAGAAAATCCAGTAATTCTGTCCACTACAACCAAAAACATTTGTTAAGATCTGTGACGCTGCGACACCCTGCCCCCCCAACCTACATTCTCCCCACGACATATAAATACAGAAATCAGCCGTCATAGAGAGTATGGCGTTAAAAAAGGGCGTTGAGTTTATGAGATATGGCCCTGTAGTAAAGCCCAAGTCTAGTCTAATCTATTGTAGTCTAGTAGATTGTCTAGACCAGTTTATACTGGTGTAAATCGAGCCCAGTCCAGACCGGTCCGGTCTACGCAGCCACACAGTAGTTTGGTCTGCGGGACATGACGTATCCTCTCCTGCAGACGCAGCGGAACGAGCCGTCTGTGTTCACGCAGCGAGCGTTCACGCACGGGAAGTCCACGCTGACTCCATCCTCACACTCGTTTATATCTGCAAACAGATAAAACAAAGTTGTTGTTGCAACGATTAGTTTTAGATTAGTAAAGTGACTGTAAACAAATGTACTATTTTAATTTTGATAATTGATTAATCGTTTCAGCCATTTTTTAAAGCAAAAATATGAAACATTTGCTTCTTTGGGTTTTGGACTGTCGGACTAAAGAAGAAATTTGAAGACGTCACTTTTGGGCTCTGGAAAAATGTGATCTCTTGACATTTAGGCTCGAGCTATAAAATGAAGAGAGGGATTGTAATTAAAGCAGCCAATATTACTTTTAATTTATTTACTTTAACAACTAAACACTAGTTACTGCTTGGTAGCTTGAAATGTTAACGTTAGCATAATCTTTCTGTCACATACAATGGGGTCATATCGTTGCTATATTTATGCTAGAGCTATAAATGAAAATGTCATCTCGTGACATTTCATAGACTAAACCATGAAAATAATCTGCAGATTAGTTGAAAATGAAAATAATTAGTTAGTTGCAGCCCTAGATTAGGGTTAGGGTTAGGGTCATGATACCACAAATTTAGTAGTCGATATCACTACCACTGAAATTCCATGATTCTCGATACTAAATTCGATACCAAGTAAACAACCAAAAAATAATAAATCCCATGTACTTCAACATATTCTCCTTTAAAAATGATCAGATATAGCTCAACAACTGTAACGACATCATGGCAGACTGAACGGTAAGGACGGCAGTCTACTACTACGAGCTATGTTTAGATTGCGCAAGCCTAAACACGGTAGCCTTTAGCGTTTAGCCTTGGCAAACATCACATTTAACATAGTCAGCTGTCTCAAACAAAAACAACGGTAACACTAAGCACCTTATCCCCAAAACAAATTCCTCGTATGTGTTAAAGCTCCTTCTGATTCTGATTAGTCTGAATATAAGACGACCCCCCACCTTTTTTCAAGAAACATTTTTGGAAAAATACTTTCTAAATACCAAATTTTTTTATAAATACAAACTCACACTGAATAAACAAAACAAGGGAGGACGTTGTTTTTAACTTCTTTTAAATAACATTTTCAAGATCTTTTT